TGGTGAGGAAGATTGGCCCTGAGCTAACATCTGTTGCCAATCTTCCTCTTTTTTTTTTTTTTCTCACCAAAGCCCAAGTACATAGTTGTATATCCTAGCTCTAGATCATTCTAGTTCTATGTGGGATGCTGCCACAGCATGGCCTGACAAGCAGTGTGTAGGTCCATGCCTAGGATCCAAGCCGGCAGAGCACGTAAACTTAACCACTTGGTGACAGGGCCAGCTCCCAAAACATTACTATTATTGCTTTAAACAGTTAATATGCATTTATATTTATGTTCTCAATTGCTCTTCATTTCTTCCTGCATTTCCATCCTCTACATGGGATCATTTTCCTTCTACCTAAAGAACTCCCTTTGGCACTTCTTTTAGCACAAGCCAGAAGGTAAAGAATTCTCTCAATTTTTGTTTGTCTGAAAATATTTTTATTTCACCCTCACATTTGAAGGATACTTTTGCTAGGAAAAGAATTCTCTTGTAACAGTCATTTTCTTTCAAGATGTTCAACAGTTGATCTCATTATCTTCTAATGAGAAGTTAGCAGTCAACCTTAATTTTGCTCCTTTGAAGGGAATGTGTCTTATTTCCCTGGCTCCTTTTAAGATTTTTCTTCCATGTGTTTATGCATATTTATTCTGTTTAGGGTTTGCAGAGTTTCTTGAATTTGTGGCTTAATATCTTTATATCAACAACTTTGGAAAACTTTTGGTTACTATCTCTTCAAATAGTGCTTCTACCCTATTCTCTCTCTCTTTTCCTTTTAGGACTCCAATTACACGTTTTGGACCTCTTCACCTTGTTCCATACATTCCTTATTCTATTTTCCATATTTTCCCCCCTCCATAATTTTAGCCTGGATATTTCTACAAACATACACTCTCTTCCACTATTTCTAATCAGCTATTAAGGCCATCTATTTAGTGTATAATTTTAGACAGCAAATATTTCTCTTCTCAAGTTTCCATTTCATTCTATTTTATGGATTCCAGTTCTCTGGTGAAATCCTGTATTTTGTCTATTTTTGTGAACATATTTATTATGGGGATTTTGTTTTGTTGTGTGTTTCGTAACACACAGGTCTAATAATTATAGTAGCCATTTCTATCATCTGCTTTTTTCTCTTGGCCCCGTCTCACAATAAGACTGGTAATGTTTTATTGAATTATGAGCATGATCCATCAAAGCTTGCATAACCTCTAGTGGATGTCAACTTCCTCCAGGGTCTTTTTTTAAACACCATCTTTTTAAAAAAAACTTCCTGGAGGCAGTTGGAATTCCAACAGATTTTATTGTCGAATTAGGGTTGAGCTAACTCAAGACTCGGTTTCAGTCTTAGGAATACCTGGTCCATTGAAAGCTGATTCTCCCTCTCTCCTAGGGGACAGTCCTTCAGGGATGCTAACTGGTCACCGAGGTGTTTACCAGGGCTTTGAGCCCCCGATTTTGTGTCCCAGGACAATGAGACTGCCCATCAATCTGCTTCGCTTCTCAGCCTGTCAGCAGCTGCTTTCTGTTTGACTCCTCTGCCTCTTACTGCTTAAGAATTGGTGAAAGCCCAGATGAAAAACAGGGCTCTGATAAAGTCCCTTTGCTGCTCTCGTTCCCAATTTCCCATCGTTGGACTGTCAATATCTGTCATAGTTTTTAATTGGCCCAAAGTGAACTGAGACAAATAAGGGCAAACAGTGGATTTGTATAAAGCTAAATGAATTCAATTTAAAGGTAGGGCTTTTAATCTACGATCATGTCCTACTTTTTGATATTAAAATGAAAAGAATCTGAGGGTAATTCTTTTATTGAAAAGTCTGTGATGGTAGACCATTGTTGAGTTTTGTTTTTATTTTTGTCCTCATTTGACCAAATAAAAAATTGACAACCTGTGTCAGTTCCAAATACAGTTTCTTTTGAAGTTTACTAGTACTTGAAACTCAGAAGTCTGAGAACCAGATTCTGTACCTTGGCCTACAATCTCCCTTCTTCTTCAGCATCAGCCCATTCTGCCTTTTCCCTTTGTCCACTGTTCTCCAGGTGTCGAAGCGCCTTTTCATTTCCTACTCCAGCACCTTTACGTATGCTGCTCCCACTACCTGAGTTTTATGTGCCATAGCCCTCCCCTTTCACATAACTGACGTCCTCTCAGCAGTCAGGTCTCAGCACAGAGGACTTCCCCAGATAAGGGATCTCTCTCCCCTTGACACAATTTTTAATGATGTATAATTTGATCACATGCTTGTTTATTGTTTGTCCTCCTAGACCATAAGAACCATGAGGGCAGGCTCTGTGTCAATTTAATTCACAATTGTTAAACTCCTTACACACATGGAGGTATAACAAAGGTCTGGAGCTGGAGATGTAGATAGTGGAAGGATTTCTGAAGATTTCCTTAAGAAATCTAAGCTATGATCCCAACTCTTATTCTGCCCCACCAAGAAAGAGAAGGGATGAGGGCTCCAATGTGCTAACACCAAGTCAAGAGGAAGAAATCTTGGGGACACCACTTGAAGAGTTCAACGTGTGTCTCCTGAAGTTGGCTGGTGTCCAGTTCACACCTGAGAAATCTCAGGGCTGAGCGACAGCTGCAGTGACCTGTGTAGGCAGAGCAGGTGTGGCTGTATTAACTCCCCGAACGCCTCGTCAAGAGTTTGTTTAGCAAAGGTCACACGCAGGTTTCCGGTGAACCAGATGGGGGCCACATGCAAGAGAGCCAGAATGGGGTTGTCTTAGGAACCCACCAAGACGGCCACCGAGGAGTGAGGAGGCGTGACGGGGAGAAGCTGGGAGTATGCCTTGCTGTCCAAGAGCTGAGGAAAGCACAGCATTACCAAGACAAAGGATGGTGACTAGCATGGCTCAAGGGAAATGCAGGCAAGAGATCCCAAGGGATTGGAGAGAGAAGGGGAGCTAGTGTCTCAGAAACATCCATCGAAGCGCTCACAACAGAAGGAGCCAGCTCTGAACACCCAATCCAGAGAGCATCAGTCCCTGCTCACTACAGGCAAGGCAGAACTCTCCTCCCACTGTGCCTCCCCTCGGCCCCAAATCTCCCATCCGCAGTGGGTGCAGGAAAGACAAAAGTAGCTAATCAGCTGCCTTTCCTTACCCGAGGCCTTTTCACGAGCAGCTGACCCCAGTATGGAAAGAGGAGATGTAAATTCACTCACACACTGAGGAAGGTCACTTGGCAAAATTATATTCCAGGTAAAAATCACAGAAATCTTAAAAAGTAACAAAATAACCAATAAGTACGTAAGCATTTGGGTTGTATGACAATAGGATAAAAGTGGTCATTCATGTCCTTGATATATCCCCTCTAATTCGTTTTAACAAATACAAGTACATACTACTTAAAAAAAGACAAACACAAACCCACGCTTTTCCCACCCAAACCCTGCCATTAATTGCAAATCATTTAGACTCTTCAGATGTAGAGGCTACGGAGAAGTGCCAATGTCGCAGCTTCCCCACTCCAGCTTCCACCTGGAGACTCCCTCAACTGACTCACCAGCAGTGGGAAAGAACTTATCCCTCATGTAAGAAGCCCCTCCTGCACCCTTGCCCACCAGAGTGAGGCCCTCCTACTGCAGGCCTCACCCAGTGCAACACAACATTGTACCATCCTTCCACGCTGCCCAACCCAAACAGAGAACAGGGCCTTCACTCCCTGCCGGGGTGACAGCTGGGGGTGAGAACCACATTATCTTTGCAACATCAGTCCCTGGATGCGGTCCTGCACCCATTTACTCAGCGTTCAGTGCTCTGATCAGATCTCACCCTGGGGTAACGATACCAACAGTGTCTCCAGCCGCCTTCCCAGGCCCTCCTGGCCTGGACCAAGGGCCCGCCTTCTCAAAGGCCACGTTTACACTCTCTCAGCTGCCCTGCTCTGCCTTGCTCTGCTCTGTCCTAAGGAACTAGAGGACATGCTTGGTCACTGTTTAATGTGTCATAAAACAGAAACCTCTATGAAATCCAAACTTGGGCCAAAAAACGTTCCCTCTGTGTTTCTGTTCTATGTCTTGACGCCATTCCAGAAAGTCAATTCACTCTTTCAGCTGACAACACCCCAAATCTGAAAATGGCTGTCATAATCCTGGAGTCTTCTTTTGTCCAGGACCAGCATATCGCGTTCCATCAACCTGGGGCTCTGTCCTACCTGAGAGCAGAAGTGAAATCCTTGGCTAGCATTTAAACTGCCCTGTGAAGAATTACCTCAGACTGTCTCAAAATTGTCGTGATGAATGTGGGCTTATTTCAAGCTTGTGTTATTTTTTAAGAAGCTGATCTTGCATTTTAACAAATGGTATTTAATATAAACATATCTCAGGTATGAAAACAGAACTTGAATTACCTTTTTTTGTGTGTGTGAGGAAGATTGGCCCTGAGCTAACAACTATTGCCAATCTTCCTCTTTTTGCTTGGGGAAGATTGTTCCTAAGCTAACATCTGTGCCAGTCTTCCTCTATTTTGTATGCAGGACACCACCACAGCATGGCCTGACAAAGGGTGTGTAGGTCTGCACCCAAGATCTGAATCTGTGAATCCCGGGATGCCAAAGTGGCGCACGCAAACTTAACCACTAAGCCACCAGGCGGGCCCTTGCATTACCTTCTCAATCAATGGGTTGCTCAGAGAAAGTGAACAAGAAAGGAATGAAAATTACAACAACTCAAGGGCAGAACCCAGAAGACTTGCCCTCTTACCCCAAGTCTTGAGAACTTTGGGCCAGTGACCTAACATGCCAGGCCTTCCCTCACTCTGAGCCCAGGCCCCAGCTTCTATGAGCCGGGAGCCTCACCTGGATGGAGCGTGGCCCACGCTCATGAAAATGGGACCGTTTCTATTTAAATATGAGAACCTCAGGTTGACTAATATTTAGACACAGCAGATGTTACACCCCCATCACAGTACGTTCCAAGGCCAGGAGGCAAGCTGGGTCCCCTCCCCGCCCACCCAAAGGCACTGACATCTCACAAGAAAGAGCAGGTGCAGCCGCCACTCACCTCCCAGTCAGACATCTCCGCAGAGAGTATGACGCTCCGCCCCCGCACGTCCGGGAGCAGTCGCTCCAGTCTCCCCAGGCATCCCAATTGCCATCTTTCTCTTCCTCTGAACGAGTGTTTCTGGAGGTCTAGAACGTGAAAAAACACAATAAGTTATAGAAAACGTGGTAGAAATATCCCAAAGCTTCCCCAGTTTTTCCAGTGTCTTACTCTGGGACATAGGTTTATGTGGAAACTGGCGGCGTAGGAGTCGCTTTCCGTCTTTCGAAGGTTTTGTACAGATGGCTTCTAAGCTCAATTTTAAACCGGAAATTTTATCATTCTGAAATTTAAATCAATTGTCTAAATATCAACAATGTTTTGACGATGATGATTATGATGTTTTTTAACTTACATAGCAGAGGCCCAGCTTGCACCTAAAAAGTTCTCACCCCTGAAATTCTGACTTCCCTTCTGTCAGACCCATAGGTGCTACCTCCAAGGAAACCTTTTTTGCATGAGGATTTGGGGAGCCTTCTGAGAGAAGCTCCATTCCAAGAAAACGAAGCAAGTAAAGATTTAGGGGTCCAAGAAAATAGGGAAGGGTCAATTATGAATATAGTTTGGTTTAATTTGTCTTCTGAACTTGCCACCACTGACTCACGTCAGGATACTCCAGAGAAAAGAGAAGGGGGTAGATTTAAGTTAAAAATGTATAAATAGCTGTAGATTCAGACTTTTTAAAAATGATGTGTATTACTTAAATAAAGTTACAAAACTTTATTAAGGGGCCTAAAGTAGACTTGAATCAATGAAGAAACATATCATAGTCCTAATTGAGTAGACTCAACACTGTAAAATGCTATTCTCTCCAAATTAATCTATAAATTTATAGCAACTCCAATCAAAATCCCAAAGGGAACCTTTTTGGAACCTAAGGAAATGAGTCTAAAGTTCATCTGGTGGAGTAAATGTCTACACAAGCCAAGGAAAAAAATCTGTCAAAGAAGGGAAATGCGAGGGAAATTGCCTCAATTAAAAGAGTATAGAATTGGCATAGCGATAGCAGTCAGATCTATTAAAGTTTTAAAAAGAAGAGTCCAGAAACGACTCAAGTAGAAGGATGTAGTATAGGACCACAAGTCAATGTGATGAGTGATTAAAAGAAAAAGTCACAGATAACTTCTTCACAAAATACACCAAAATGAATTCCAGATATAGTAGAAATTTATATTAAAATACTAAAACCATAAAATACCAGAAAAATTATAGATTAATAGTCATATCGACTTGATACAGGAAAGACTGTCCTGGATATGTGAACAAAGATAGAAACTATAAAGGAAAAGACTGATAGATTTGGTTACGTTAAAATAAAAACACACTTGGCATTTGTGTCTCTTTGCCTATAGATAAAGATGTAGGTATATGAATATATACACAAAAATGTACATAGGAGCTGGGTGAAAACACACCGAGCTGCCTCTAAGAATGGAGGACGTGGGAGCAGGAGTGAGCGTTGTCGGGGAAAGACACAATGGGATGCCAATGGAATGCCCATCCCCATGAAAGATCTGAAGCAAATATGACAAAAAGTCAAGCTCAATGAAGCCAGTTGGTGCTGTGAATGGATGTTAGTTTTATCTGAACTTTTATGGCTTTTGAAACTTCTTTTTTAAAAAATATCTTTGGGGTGGAAGGCAATCCTTAGGGAACAGTATCAGCCTCCACCGTTTTTACTGCAGGTGAACAACGCGGCTGTGGATGGAGAGGCCGGCGCGGTTCATTAAAATGTTAGCGGGGCCGCCCTCTGGGTGGGGATACCACACAATTTTAACTTCTCTTGTTTTTGTTTCTCTGCATTTTGTAAAGTTTGTTTTTCAAGCCAAAACTTTCATGATTTCATTAAAAATAAGCAAGCAAGCAAACAAACAAAAACCACCTCCCGTGGACGCACAGAAAAGTCAAGTCAGACAGAACTTAATAGGTAGGTTCTAAGTGGGGAATGGCAGGGTTTATGAAGGAAACCCTGACATACTAATAAACGGCACCATGTGACTGAACTAGATATTGCACAGGTTTCCTTAAGCCCTTAGGCCAAGTTACCTCATGCAACCAAAAGAAATTAAATTAAGAGAGAGATCTGTAGAAAGGACCTTCAAAAGTGAAATGAAGAAATAATGACTGGAAGCAAGGAGGGGTTTTTCCAATAATTTTCACCCAGGTCTCACTGGCCAGTGGGTTTCATGGCTTCCTGCCAAGCTCCCTATTTATAGCCCAGTAAGCAACCCTCCTGGAGGCAATATTTCAGGAACAGTCAAGAGAAAGGAAAGGATAAATATCTGGCAACTGATCAAATCTGTCATCAAGAATAATGGCTAATTAAACCCATACTATTTACTGTTCTAATTAGACCACTGTTCAGTTCAATTTTCTACAGTAAACGTCACCAGATATAACTGTGTCCTGTCCATACCATAATATAAAATAAAGTTTTAATTCATAAAAAATACAATAAGCAGTTTAATACATTCATCTGGACTTCTAGGTTGGTAAGTCCAAATCATTTAGGTAAACGTTTAAAATATACACAGCTGAAATTGATTTTTCATTTTGTCACTTGATATACTGATAGGCTGAATGTGAAAAGTTGAAAAACATCATCATATATATTTTAAAATGAAAGTTGAGAGTTCTTTGCAATATTATTTTAATTTGTTTTTATTCCCACTATCCCATCTGTTCAGTTTATAGTTAGAGTCAGGTTTCTTTCCATAACTTCTCCACCTTTCCTTACAAAAAAACAAAAAAGAATCTTGATTCTAAAATAACTAAAATAGGCATGTTATAAACGCAAGCATTTGCTTTCTCTGGTTGGGATCAGTTAGGATATTTTTCCCCTAAGAAAACAGAGAGAAAAATGACATCTCAAGAGGGCACTCCAGTTTTCTCCTCTTCTTGGCCATGGAGATGGTCGGATTTTGCTTTGAAACCCCAATGCCATCTCCTACAAGCCGGTCCCCGTGTCTTTCTCATGTATTCTTCTTTATTCAAAGAGTAGCAATAGGGGCTGGCCCCGTGGCCGAGTGGTTGAGTTTGTGCGCTCCCAGGGTCTCGCCCGTTCAGATCCTGGGCACGGACATGGCATCGCTCATCAGGCCATGCTGAGGCGGCGTCCCACATGCCAGAACTAGAAGAACCTACAACTAGAATATACAGCTATGTACTGGTGGGCTTTGGGGAGAAGAAGAAAAAAAAGGAAGAAGATTGGCAACGTATGTTAGCTCAGGTGCCAATCTTTAAAAAAATAAAAATTTTTTAAAAAAGAGTAGTAACATCCCAGATTTCTATCCAGTTCTCATCTTTTCCCTCTGCAGCCAGAAGCATGATGACAACACAAACATTCAGAAAAGACCTCCATTGGAGCAGAATAAAGCGCCACCAGGGTCAGTTCTGAACATTTATGTTGTGTGTTCTTCCCTCTACTGCGAAAGAACCCGCTTGCCTGGAAGCGACACCCTTTGAGAGCGGTGGACGGTGAATCTCCATACTCTTCGACAGAAAAACCTTTCTCGGACTATCTGCTGCCTTCAACTGTCCCAGCTCTTTTACAAATGTTGTCTGTCTCTGCACACACTTAAGTTCGCACGTTTTTAATCTTAAAATGTAGTGTCCAGAATATAACACTGTATCTGAGAATAACATAGACCACACATTGCACCTCTGATCCGGGTTTCTTTTGATGAAATCAAAGTTTTCTTCTTCTCCCCCTTCCTTCCTTCCCTCCCTCCCTCTTCCCTTCCCTCCTTCCCTCTTTCCTTCCCTCCTTCCCTCTTTCCTTCCCTCCTTCCCTCCTCCCTCCCCTCCTTCCCTCTTTCCTTCCCTCCTTTTCTTCCTCCTTCCTTCCCTCCTTCCTTCCTGTTTCAGTCACACCATTTATTGGCTCTCATTAGGAAGCAGCATCACATATTGGTTAAAAGCTGTGTGGCTCTGCATAAGTTTCTTAACTTTTCTAAAACTCATCTATAAAACGGAGATGATAATCTTTACCCTAACAGGATTTAAATAAAACAACACATACAAAGCAAATAACAAAGGATCTCAATAAATGTAATAAGAGAATGTCTCAATAAGGGTAAGAGATTGTAGTTCTTCAAAATAATGTCTTTTTCAAAAGAATGACACTAGAGCCAGATCTCTCCCGGTTTTACTCACGCAAGACTTAACCTTAATCATTACAGAATTTCCTCCTGTTGGTTTTGGCCCAGAATCCAGCCCACTGAGACCTGTTTGAACCCTGATCCTGTCACCCCATCTACGAGTCACTTTGCTCAGCTTTGTGGCTTCCATGCTCCGCCCAAGTCCGATAAATGTGCTGGACATAGCTCCCTAATCTTACAGCATTCCATGAATGCATATTTCTGCTCTTTTAAAATAGTAAGCAGACCATAATGCCAAGGAAGCAGCCAACTAATCAGACTTGGGATCTGTGAGCATAGTTTAATGTTACCATAAAAATATGAAATAGTACCATTCACCGTCATCAAGCGTTAGGAGGCAGAAAGAGCTGTGGGGAGGAAAGGAACCAGCCATTTGGAGGAGCTGGATCAGGCACAGTGGGGTCTGTATTCTTGGGTGTGTGGTGGTGGTGAGTCTCCTAGGAGAAGAGGTACTCAGCAGCCCCACTTTGGCTGGTCCCAGCTCTGAACTGCAGTGACAATAAAACATGGCGGACTGAGACCAGCCTGACGTTTGGCCTGATGGTAACCCCGAAGAGGCAACAATCTATAGATTTGTTTCCCCCAAGTCTGGGTCAACCGACGTCATGTCATTCTCTGACTCTGCCTTGGCCCAGACTGGAGGAGAGCAAGGAGGAAGAGGTGAAGAACTGGTCCTGCATAAAGCAGCTACTAGGTAAGCACAGAGTGAGCACTGCCTGCCAGGACTTTTTCTATGTGCTTTCCAACCTTCTCAACAGACCCTGCAGGTGGATATTACCAACCCCATGTTATAGGTCAACAACTATGGCTTCCAGAAGCACGTGCCCAAGGTGTGGAGGAGCCCAGGTAGACCCCTTTCTGTCTGACCCCAGACAAAGCCTACATTTTTCTCCGTGATGCTCCATTGCACTTCACGACCAGAAATCCAG